AGCCCTACGAAGATGGGGCTGAATCAGTCTTGCCAGGTATCCTGAGGAAATATGGCTAAAAGAAAGTCCCACCAGAGGGTCAGTCTTGAATTAAATTAGTTTTTCTTAACACTAGCATTTAGTTTAAATAGTTTTCCCTTCCTTTTACTTTAGCAAGGTGCTTTTATTGAGGTATGTAAAATACTATTGATGGTTCCATATTATAATCCCGTAATGGGCCATTTTGGATAACTTGATTGAATCTACCTGTTTCATGTTGATTTTGACTCATAGTCAAGCAGAGGACTAGACTTAATTGCAAGCGGCTGACTGAGCCTCAATGAATTTACTTCTCTGCCAGAGGAAGGCATCCTCTCTCCATCCCCAACCACAACCTGCACTCACTGTTTTGTGCCTGTCACACCATGTGCCCTCCCAATGTTATTTGTATTTTATTTTTATTTAAGTTTTTTATTCTTATGGCTATTGTTGACTTTCTGGAGCTCATCTTGTATCGAAATAATTCGTTATTAACTTTTCCTCATGGAGGGGAAAGGCCTAATCCCAGTTTGACTCTGGGAAACAACCCAAATTAGAAAAGAATACATGGACAGGCTGCTAATGAGTCATAGCTGAGGTAAGATTTGGACTTTTTGGTGCTCTCTCTCATACCTACTATGCTGTACCACCCGTCTGTTTTCAAAAATTTGTGGTAGGGTAGCAGAGATTTCAACAAGCAAGTTTTAAGGTAGCTTTAAGGGGAAAAGTTAGGAGATATGGCTTTGTTTTATTTTATGAAAGCTATGACAAATACTCAGATGAATTTACTGACATGAGCTCTCTGATGTAATTCATAATATAACTAAATAATTAGGAATGAAATTAAACTGTTGGCTGCTTGTTGCTTGCAATTCTTAAACGCAGAAGGTTGAATTTTAGACAGCACATTATATTCTGATTTGCCTCAAAGGTGCTGATTGTCTCAGTCTTTAAATGCTCAGCAACAGTAACTCTTACTGTTCACTAGCAGTTGTGCTTGCCAGTTTTTTGCCATCTTGCTTCTATTACTAATTCTTAATCTTACTAATCACTGGGAGTCTATAAATCTAAAGCCAACCTGGAGCCCTAATTGAGCAGATTGGGTAGTTTTGTATTCTGCTTTTAAAATGTGCATGTTTGCCAGAACTGGAGGTTGTTGGGAAATGTGTGGGGAGGGAGAATGAGGCGAACTAAGTACTAGTAATGTCCAGAAAATATAGATTATAGTACTAGGTAGAGCAATAAAACTAAGCCATTTGGCTGCAGAGACTCAACCAAGCTCCCTTCAATAATCTTTTGGTAGAACATTGACTACATTGTTACTATGTTGAGGACAAAATAAGTTTTGGAACATAAAACCAAAGATTTTGTAGAAGCAGCTGGATTCCTTGGGGAAGTCATAGTATTTAGAATTGGGTATTATCTCTTCCTGTCTGTGATCAGTAAAATTAGTCCTTGCAAAAGGTCAGTGGGAATTCACCTTTCTACTGTTACACTGCTCATGTGAGTAGACATCTCATGTGAGTAATCATTTGCATATGTTAGATATCTGTCATAGTGCTAGCTCTTAATATCCCAGGTTTGATTGAGCATGTATTAATTTTTATTCAGGATTTTCAGCTGGTAGGTATATGTGGGATATATGCTTTTACACACAAGATGTTCAAATCTTACCTACAGTTATTACAATCAAGGCATTTGGTTGATCTTTTCCCCTTCCGCTTTATTGGGCTGCTGCTATTCATTTTATTTGTCCCAGCATTTTCCTTTATGGTCCACCGTTAGATATTGATCAGTTGAAGCTCATTTTGAGACTCGTTGGAACCCCAGGCCCTGAGCTTTTGAAGAAAATCTCTTCAGAGTCTGTGAGTTTATAACCTGATTGTAATGTCTTCCCTTCTGGGATTTTGTATGTTTTTACCTTTTGCTTTGCCATCTTATAGATTGGCTCTTTAGTTTACTTTCCCTTTTCTTCAGTTTGTTCTCCTAGGCTCTTCTTGAATTTTCACTCTTCTTTTGTACTATTTACTGTGTAACTGGTTCCTCCCATCTTGCTTATTTTTCCCTTGTGTGTGTGTAGGCTGTACTAAGCTTAGCTACTATATGCTATTATTGTAGACTGTTGTTCACATATTCATTAGGTGTGCCCATGTCTGCTTTCTTGTTAATGGGAAAGTGCCTTTCTTAGGGATGAGTTTTTTAGACTGTACTGAATATTCTTCCAGGTCTGGCAGCCCAAAGAGAGTTCCAGAAGGAAAACGTATCTGTTTAGGAACTAGTATGGCAACTGAGAGTTGCTTCCATAGCAGCACAGTGGGCTTCAGTTGCCACGAGTGCATACAGTGCCTTTAGAGCATAAAATCCACCTAGTGCTAAAAGTGCTGAGTTGTGAAAATGATCACCTTGGAATCAGTGAAGAGCATGTCCATTCTCCATAAGCAGGATGGCTCAGTATTCAATGGCAAACATACTTTGTTATTCTACAGAGATGGATTTTGCTAGTATAAACGCTTTGATTAGAAACTGATTTAAAATCAAACTGCAGTAAGGTCTGAGATTATTAGGCATACTGTAGAGATTAAAATTTGTTCAGAAATTAGAGCAGAGTTGACCTGAAAGGAATTCTGATTCAGCATATTAGTACTCTGTGTTTTCTGCAAATATTTAAAGCATGCTCTTCAGTCAGCATGTGAAAGTAAGTATCATCAACATGCTCTGTTGCTCTGGCTTCCATGGAATGAATGCTGAATATAGATAAAGGAAATTGACGAAGAATGGAACTCAAGAGAGGTTTGTAGTAATATTGGTTTGGATCCACTGGAACAATTCCAGAAATGCTAGGACGGCTGCCTGCAGAGCATGTCTTTTTCCCTATCCCCCAAGCAGCCCAACATGCCCCCTGAAATCCTATTACTGGGGATCCTTCCCCCCCCCCCCCCAGGAACCAGATTTCAGGGGGGTATTTCAGGCTGGTGCAGGATGGGGGAGCAATGAGAAAGCTGCACTGCAGGGACAGAAATCCTTGCACCTGCAGAAAACCACCAATGGAGCTAAGCTTCTGTAGTTTGAATTACCATGGAAGACTAAAGCAAAAGTTCTGACATCATTCTTCAGGATATAGTCAGCAGATGGTCATAGCAAGGGTGGGGGATTAAACAGAAGCAGCTGTGCTTAGGGTCAAGGGGAAACCTGACCCCTAAAAAGTAAGATGGATTGACAGTTTACTGTTCCTCGTTATGTTCTTGAAGACCTATTTTCTGTTTGGTTTGTGTATCAATGGTAGAAATAGTCTAAAATACTATTGTCTCCTTAATGGTGGTGGTGGTGGAAAGTGTCATCAAGTCGCAGCTGACTTATTGTGACACTTGGAGTATTTCAGTTCCAGTGCCAAAAGAGTGCCTATATGTACAAGAACATCTAGGCAAAAATTAGTTATATCTTTGGACAGATCTTTAAGGCTGTGTTTAGGTAACAGACTACGGAGAGGGTGACTGTAGAGTTTTCAGGACAAGAGACAGAGGTGGTTTGCCATTGCCATTGCTTGGCTTTGCATAGCAACCCTGGACTTTATTCATCTTACACAACAGATTGCTCCATACTTACACTTGATCATGTTTTTCTGACCTGCATTTCACTCCCATTCTATATGTGCTTGCTTAGTAGCTATTCTTGGCCCAGATATCATCCAGAAAACAGGATGCTGAGTGGTGAAAAAATGCAGCATTAGATGGCAATGTACACTGAAAGCAGCCTGCCATCTTAAGCAACTTAATAAAATCTTGAGATCAAATGGCAGATGAAGATTCAGTTTAGCCGCTTGTGAAGTTATCTTTATAACACTATGATATGGGATACTGATCAGGCACAATCTTGACTGGTTGCAAATTAAGTAGCAAAGGTACAAATTAAGTGGCAAAGGTGCATAAACAATGGTGATTGAAATATAGGATGATTGCCAAGTATGAAATGACTATGCTAAAGAGTGAGCAATCTGAACATTAGACAGTGATTTGAAAATGGGCCCTTCAGCTTGGATTCTGTGTATTTCAAACTGAGAGAATCATCTCCTTGTATTGCAAATGTGACTCCATGAAATAAAATTAAGAGAGAGATTTCTTCTTTGAAGACCATGTGTTCATTGCAAGTCTTCCATACAGTGGCATTTCTTTAAATGAGAACATTAAAAGGTAAGACTTTCTAGAGAAAATAGGTTATGAAATACTACCACTGTATTTTTCCTTAAATAGGTTTAGTTTGATTCTGCTTACAGTTTCAACAAAAGCAGACAGCATATAGGTCATTATCTGTTATCCTCATCCTTCCCCATACATCAAAATAAAGTATAGTCAGTTCTTTTCACCTGTATAAATAAATAAGCTAATATTGCGCTATCTTGACGGTTCATGCATGGTTTGCAGAAGCTTGGATTGCTTTAGTTGCCAGTAAAGTAGCTTTAATTTGGTTTTTGTGAACTAACAAATGAACTGCTTGTGCCTTGCCAATAATGTTCTAACATTGCATGTTGCTCTACTCATGTTTATGCCTACTGAAGGGAAATAAACATTTTGTATGCTGCAGTCTTAATATATTATCTTCTGCTGCAGAAGGTGAAAGCTAAGCTTTGTAAGGCCAGATAGGAAGAGGATAAAATCATACTTCTATAGCAGCCTTATCAGTTGATTAACTGCCCTGCTTAAGGGGACTCTTGATTTTAAATTTAAAAGGCAGCAATATCCCGGCTAAGGTGGCCTGTTCATGATAACCAATGGACTAGTGTTTGGCTTTGCTGAAAGGTTGTTAACAGTGATTTTCTAATATTAAACTGCTTTACTTCCTAGTCCACATTCCTGTGCTTAAAGGTGGTATGACACATGAAGTGCTTCCTGCCTGTTGTATGCAGACTAGATGTCTTGTATGCAGTCTTGATTATGTGTTTACACTGATATTGTAATATTAACAAAGCCCTTGACTAGGCACCTAAGATATTAACCAGCTTCAGCAGATCATGCGTCTGACGGGGACACCCCCTGCATATCTCATTAACAGGATGCCCAGCCATGAGGTGAGACCTGATAAGGTGTGCATGATTGGTCTGCACTCAAAATGTTCCTTTATTAGGAGACTTTTAGTGTAATTACATAGTGTAGGTAAGACAATTTACCTTTGCAGTGTTGACCAGATTACCACAAAAAAACAAACCAACACCAAAAACACACACAAGCACCAATAAATGAATGAGAACTGGCTTTGAATGAAGTGGAGCAAACTGTTACTGAACCTTGGTATTGTGGTAGTTCACATGTTGTATTTGGTAAGATTTGTGTTGTGTTAGCGCTCAAAGCTACAAAGGCATCTGGATGCTATTGCTGCCCTACAGAAACTCATCCCTTGTAGCACGCTTTACTGTGTAATGGATGATTCTCTTCCAGTTTTGCACAAGTCAAAAAGACCAGCATTTAGCATGTGTTTTGTTAATAGAGTCAGCTACATGGGTAAGAGTGCTAAAATAGCTCATAGGGTCTTGCAGTAGCAAAAGTAGACACATCCGCAAAGGCTTTTTTGCTTACTGGTTGGTAAGAGGTACTATTTAATATGTTTTATTTTCTCCCAGGCAAGAAACTACATACAGTCCTTATCTTACATGCCGAAGATGAATTTTGAAAATGTATTTATTGGTGCCAATCCACTGGGTAAGACATGGAGCACTTTCATTACAATAGGGAATATAAACATGCATATAGTGAGTTGAGGGTCCCTGTTGGGCAGCATGGAAACCTAATTTTTTTTAAGTGGTAGTGGATTTAATTTTATTTATTTATATTTTGCCATGAGGTGAAAATGATTCAGGCGTTTCCTCTGAGATGCTAAATATGCTGCCTGTTTTTGCATCTTTCAGAGACTGATGGTGTTTCTAGATGTAGACCTCTGGAATTTAGCGATATGAAATCACCATTATCTAAATTCTCAGTATCAATGAACAACTTGTCTCCAATGAAGAGCAGCTACTTGTTACAAATCTTGCTTCATTGAGAGCATTTAGTTTAGGAGAAGGAAAAACATTAATACATATTAATTTCCTGTTTAAAGTAGAATCCAGAGATTTCATTCTTTTCTGGCACACATTCCTTACAATACAGAAAGATGTCATGTTAGGTATGTTTTGACATCAGTACCCATTCCCAGTCATGGGCTGAAGTACTGCGTGGGAGAAAAGCATTGAATATTATTCCTCATGAGACTGCAGGGATTAGATCCTGATCTTGTATAGGTTTCAGTGGAGCTTTTAATAACTTTTGTACTTTAAACTCCCCCCCCCCTTCTTTTGGGTCGTGAAGCCGTAGACTTGCTGGAGAAGATGCTGGTGCTGGACACAGACAAACGAATCACTGCTGCTGAAGCGCTTGCCCATGCCTATTTTGCTCAGTATCATGACCCTGATGATGAGCCAGTTGCAGATCCTTATGACCAGTCTTTTGAAAGCAGAGAACTTGATATTGAGGAATGGAAAAGTAAGTTTGCTGGAAGACTTATTCATTGACTTCAGTGAAGACTTATTCAGCGAGCAGAGTTGCACACTTCGAAGTCCATTGATTTCATTGGGTTTTAAAAGGTGCAGCTCTTTTTAGGATTAAACTGTGAGCTGTGTGTCATCCACCATTATTCTCACTGTTCCTGTGGTCAGAACACTACTAGTCAGGAGATGAGGAATAATGTTGAGTGCAAATCAGTAGCACTGTTTCTTCTACATAGCCTGGGAAACAGCTAATACAGTTTGGTGGTGTGTTACCAGATGAGCAGTTTAGTCCTTTGCCAGCTGGATTTGATTTCACATCAGGGCTGTGTCCAGTTTTTGTCAGTTAATCTTCAGGGCAAAAGTGGATAGCTGAAGGTAAAGCTTCACAAAAGCCCCCCCCCCCCATGATGTTTACCACAGCCTGTTAGCAACTGCTTCATAGTCATTTATTTAAACAGATGAATTTCAGGGTGGTGGTGTTACTGTTAGTTCAAAAATATCTTAGTTGCTGTAAATAACGGCATTTGCTTCTTATTGAAAATCCACACCTATCCTAGTAATCAATTAATTTTGATTTTGGGCACTACATAATTGAAGAGATTGGCAAATATTGTACATTGAAGGAATTACTTAAATGTTTATGTGGAACTGAGTAATCACCCTGTTATATGGAATACTGATTATAATGAAATCTGGACAGATGTTGTTTTTTGTGAATTATCATAAAATTGATACAGCATTCAGTAAAGCTCCAAAATAGATGCTAAAATTATCAAGCACAATAGATAGATATGGCAAGAACTCCTCTGTAGTTTTTTAAATCCATCAGTCTCTATCCATCAGCTATGTAAGTACTAAATAATTCCCAAAGTTACTTAGAAAAATTATTAGGGACAGTGTGGTCAATACTACTGAGTATAGCTTGTTGAAACTAAGATCCTACTATGGAATTTTACATCATTTAATGTGTTATGTTAATACTTATGCTTTGCTTCGGTTCTGTTTTTAGACTTCTGGTTAGTTCTACAGCCCTAACCCTATTGTGTTGTTTATTGCATGTCCCATCTGTCAGTTGTATTGACTCATTCTGTGTACTCTACCTTGAGTTTAACTGAGAAAGGTGGACTGTAAATATATAAAGTCTCTAATTTAGTTCTAAAAGGGGAAATAGCCTCTAGAAAACTTAACAAGAGGAGTTGAGGGGTGTATAAACACACAAGTGCTAAATTATAATTCCAGTAAATTATAAAATAAATACATAAATGTCCTTTAATAAATATGTAGTATTGGCAGAAGGATATCAATTTGATTAACACTAAGCAATTTTCCAAATATTTAAAAACTCCTGAGGAACAATTCCACACCTTGTTAAAAGTCTGTTAGAATGGACTAAGTAAAAGAAGACATGGTGACTACTTGTACTTAAATAGGTGATTACTTGTATTTAAATAGAAGCTAAACTGTCACATTGGGTCTTCACTGGACATGGCCCAACAAGATATGCCCAATTCATATTGATGTTTTAAGTCTGGATCCAGTTTGGGATGCTGCACATTTTCAACATATAAATTAGCAAGGGGGGGGGGATTCCATGGTTGGAACACTGAAGACAGCTTTATGTTTTATGATCATTTTTTTAATGTTTTATGTTTATGATCATTTTGCTACACTTACCGTATATTAAAGGATGTTTATTTAGCTTAGAATTTATTGGATTACAATTTAGCACAAATATATTTACTTAATGTATATTAAAGGACAATTATGTATTTAGCTTAGAATTTGATTTATAACTTATCACATAGCTATGCAATGTTATAAATCAAATTCTAAACTAAATACATAAATATTCTTTAATATACAGTGTGTAACACAGACAGATAGACAGATAAACCTAAAACAAACACACATGTATTTAAAAAATCAGCTTCTCTTGTTTTTGGGTTGGTGGCAGGCTCCCCCCCCCATTTTGTCCCTTGAAACACCCTCTAGAAGAAGACTCTTTACCAATCTTCTAAAGGTACATAAAGAATAGGCCAGCTTCTCTAGGCAAAGAATTCTCAACTGTGACTTCACTTCTGAGAGAGTAAACATTGTGTCCACCCACCACACTTCTGACACTTGCTGAAAGGTTTCTTATGGAAAGTTTAAAAAAAACACAGGAGGCAATACATGGGAGAAAGTATTCCTTCAGGTAACCATGGCTTAGAACTTTAAAGTTTAAAACTAATTCCTTGAACTGCATACAGAATCACCCAGCTGGGAACCAGTAGATTTCTTTAAGAACAGAAATAATGTGGTCTCATTTAGCACCTCTGGGAAATCTGTCAATCACATTCTGAACCAGCTGTAACTTCCAAGCAGTGTTCAAAAGCAGCCCCTAGTGGGACATGTGGCTATAATTTAATCTAATGGTAATCAAGACCTATATGACAGTCAAAATCCCATCTTTGAGAAGAGGGAACAGATGGCACAAGTAGTGAACATAGATAAAATGCTGCTGGTCATTGAAGTTGCCCTGACTTTTAAAATAGTAAAGCTGTATCTAGAAATGATCTGTTCTGTCTGGGGGAACATGACCTCATCTTCTCACTTTCTTCCCAAATAAAACAGTTTTGGATTAAATTTGTTATCCTTAATCCAGCCACATTATGACCCTTGAGATTTATCTCACTTATACTTTGCCTTTCTGCCCAGTGAAAACCTAAAGTGGCTTCAATCGTTCTCCTCTCCTCCACTTATCCTCACAGCAGTGTGTGAGATACGTTAGACTGAAAATGTGTGACTGGCCTCAGATGAGTCAGCAAGATACCATAGCAGAGTGGGGATTGGAGTATGGGTCTCCCAGATGTTATTTCAGTACTCTCTGGTTAGGGATTCTGCTTCTCTAGAGTCTCTGTGTTAGCATACTTGAACCACAAATCTCTTGACAACCTCTTGCCTGTAGATGTTAAAAAGCCTGGGGGGAGGGATAGTAAATGGGATACCCAAAAAGATGATGTCCATAGGATAGAGTTATCTGGCTTTACCAACTAAAGCTTACCAGACAGGTAGGAGTGGAATCATGGCAAATTAGTGGCAGCAACTCCCAGCCTTTGTGTGGTAGTTCAGAAGGATACCATGGTTGATGGTATCAGAGACTGTGGAGAAGTCCAAGAGAATCAACAGGGACACAATTCTGCCATCAGTGTCCAGGCAAAAGTCTTCTGCCAATGTGACTAAGGCAGTTTCTGCCCTTAAGCCAAGCCAGAAGTCAGATTGAAGTGGGTCTAGTTAATACAAGAGGATCTGGAGTTGACCAGCCATCCCCTGTTCTACCATCTTGCCCCAAAAGACAGTTTTGAGTATCTTGGCCAGAATTATCTGGAAACACTAGGCCCTTGTTTTAATGTAATATCTCTCCCCCCCCCCCCCTTTGTACTTTTTGATGGATGACTCTGAGAGTGAGTGGTTCCTCATCAGGGCAGGGGGGGACGACGACAGGGGAATGTTAGCTACAAGCTATGCTAAAGTCTTTGTCTTCATCTGTTTTTTCCCCAGGCCTGACATATGATGAAGTAATTAGCTTTGTGCCACCACCGCTTGACCAAGAAGAGATGGAGTCCTGAGAATCTGTTTCTCTCTCTTTGTCCCATATCACTGTGAGGGGAAGGCCTTTTTCATAGGGATTCTCCAAATATCATTCAAGTGCCTCTTGCCGTGAAGATTCTCCTTGGTGGAGGGGTTTTGTGTGTGTGTTTGTGTATTGAATGGGGGAGGGGAGATTTGGAGGAAAATATTTATACAGTTACTATGTAAACATGCTGCATGTTCTCTTGTATTTTTGTATACAGCCTGGGACATGCTTCTGAAGGCCTGTTTGATTGCTTTTTAGCCCTTATGGTTGGTAACCAGCTTTCACTGCTCTGGGGCAAGGCAGATATTATGCAGGGAAGCTGAGACCTCAAATTCTCAGTAGCAATTCTTGCCATTAAATGGCTGTCCTATCAAGAAAAAGATTTAGATGATGGAAGTTGAACTATTACTTGAACTGTGCCCTCTGCTTTTCAGGGGAGAGAAGGGAGGGTGAGGGATGTATTTCTATCCCATGCTATGTGGCTGCTTTACACCCAAAGCCTCTTCCCAATATCGTAAACAGCAGAATGGCTGTTCGGAATTTTTTTGTCTGAAACAGTAAAAACAAAAAAGTGCCTTAAATTAAAGAGGAAATGAGGTCTGGATTACTGCTTTCTTAACAGTAAGTGGAATTGTGAGCTTGCTACTTTCCAGGGTGTGGGCCACAAGGTAGCCGCGTGTGACTACTGTGTCCAGGGTACAGATCATCCAAGAGGATAGAGGGTGTATCCTTCATTAATTGAATTTGGTCATATCCCTTTCCTTGCCCTGCCCTTATGCCAAGACATCTCAGCAATAGCTCTGTCATGATGCCTGTGCGCTTTTGTTTATACTCTTAAGATGGGGGGGCAAATTGTACATTCATACATAGGCTTACTTGTGTTACTTCGGAGGAGGCACCAGGATGGTAAATCACCCAGTAAATCACTTTATTCAGTACCACAGTCAGAGCCATAAAGAACTGCAGCATCCATCTAACCTTGTGCAATTCATTGTTGACATTTTGGGCACTTTCTATATGAAAAAGGGACATATGAACATGCACATTTCTTTGTTCTTCCTTTCTGTGGCTTTAAAAATGTTTTCCTTTATCAGTCTCAGTGTGTCAGAACACATGGTTGAGTTAATTGTATTAATACATCACAGAAATAAGTGAAGTTACCCTTTCTAGGGAAATTGGGGGGGATTGGTTCAAGTATTTCGTGTTCATCGGGTATTCTGGGTATCTTGAGATCCTATTTTTAAAGTATTTTTCAAAAAAATGTATAATGCAGGTATCATGCATGGATTATATGCCTGCCTCACTGAAGAGTGTAGCTTTGCAGTATTTTTGTTTTCTGATGGATCTGGGATTTTTGTGTATTTATCCCTTTGTACAGAGAAGCCACAAAAAGATGGCATGTGGATAATGAAGCCATCAGATCTTTCATTTGTAGTGATCTCCCTTCAGGTCAGACTCTCTGTAGAGAACTTGGATTTGGGGTCCAGAGAGCAGCGCTCCTTCATGCTTCTGGTTCAGAGGCCTCCTTAAGACCAAACTAAATCAACCCTATGCTGGACCTGCAGTCTGGATATTCAGATGGAAATGTAGATACATTCTGTAAAACATACAGAGACTATTTTTATCAGTCATTTTATGTGTAGATGCTACAGTGTGACTTACATGCAGAAATACTACAAGAGAATTTTAAAATGTATAGGTATTTTGTGTGTGAGTGGGAATATTTCAAAGCTGATATTCTCCGTGGGAGCCCCTGTGGAGCCCTGCAGTGTGGTGCTGTTCTACTGCCTGAATTCTGGACAGAGAGTACACACTTTATAGAGAAATTCTGCAATTTTGTTCATATCCAGGAATTTTGCTCTAACTGGTTATGCCATATAGGATATCACACAAAGCCACTGGTTTAAAATAAAACCTATTTTTCAGAGTTAATGGTCTGTTGATCCTTATAAAACTATACTTAGTGTAACTCTTGTTGGAATTGCACTTTTTGTTTTTATGGCTATGTCTGACAGTTCAATGTTACATATGCTAAAAAAATCATTGTTATAACTCTAATCTGATATGGACATCTTTTACTGCCTTTTAAAGTACCCCCTCTTGTGAGTCACTTATACTAGAAAGAAAAGCTACATAATGCCCTTTATTAGGTGGTAATCCAATACAAGAAAATAACACACAGTGTTCAAGCTTTTGAGTTCACCAGATCTATTTATCAGACTGACCGCTGTAAAATGGGGGGGGGGGTGTTTCTAGAACATCTTAAGTCTCCTGAATCCTGTGTTAAAATGCCATGTACATTTGCTTAGAACAAATAAAAGTGGTGTGGGGGGGAAATTGTATTGGGTTGCTTCTTTGGCCTTGTGGAAGCCTCCAAATGAAAATATAAAAGCCGGTAGTAGATCAAATGTCCTCTAACACTAGATAGAACACACAAATCCCTTCAAAGGCTGAGAGCGGAGGGAAAATGTGGTAATCCTTATATTTAAGAAAACTTAAAATTAATTTGAACGATGCAAGGAGTCCCGCCTACCTCACAGGGTGTCTGTTGTGGGGAGGGGAAGGGAAAGGAGATTGTAATGCCACTCTGAGACTCAGGTAGTGAAGGGCAGAGTATAAATCCAGTCTACTCCTCCTCCTCCTGTTAAATGGTATCTTGATATAACCATACTCTAGTGTTGATTTTTTTTTTTCAGAAGCCCAGGTGGCTGCTGCTGAGGGACTGGGCCAGGGGAACTAGTGAAAACTGCCATGTGCAAGGCCCATTGCTGCTGCATTTCATCAGCAGCTGCACAAGCAGTGGGAAAACCATATTATCCTCCTGCCCCCCCATGGAAACAATCGCTGTCATTGTTGGCCATTCAGTCTCTATTATAATATATAAATTGTGCCTACGTACAAACACTGGAGCATCGCCTATTTATATGCTACTTTTTTGCTATAGCACTGAAGGCTGTTTACAATGCAGAATTTATATCTATAATATAATGGCAAAATATAAGGAAAAAAGAAGAGGAAAGTAAGCAAATTAAGGTATAGTTAATATAACTGACAGAAACATTTGGAGAGGCCAAATCACAGTTGATCTCAAGCAGGCCAGGGAAGAAGCACTCACTGTTTCACCTCTCACTCTAATATGGCCAATTTGTGTGTAGGATAAATGCATAAAGCTACCTTTTGTTGAGTTAGACTTGTGGTCTATCAAACTCAGTACTATGCACTTTGACTGCAGCTGTGGAGGGGTCTCAGAAGTCCTCACATCATCTACATGTGGTAAAGTGTATACAAAGCATGACACAGTTAATATTTGGGGGTGAGGCCCTCTGATGATGTCTGGGAAGGAGTAGTGGGTTGTGGTCAAGATAGCTGTTGGAGTTGTTGCAATTAAGGCCTCCAGGCTAAATTACATAAGCCTCTTGAATTTCCTGTTAAGTGGCTGGGATCATTTCTTGGGGAATCTGAAGGATCTTTCCAAATCTTCATTATAGCACTACCTGATCTTTTAACAGGAGGTACTACTGAGGCCTGAACCTGGGACCTTCTGCAAACAAAACAGGTGCTTTACCACAGAGCTACAGGCCCTTATTTAAATCAAAGTTTTCTGGAAAAGATAAATGTATTTGTGCAATCTTGAATCGTGTGTAGACGAATATAAAATTAACCGTTGCATCCAAAGGTTTCCTCTTACACATGGAAGGTAACTTTTCCTCATGGAGAAGCTATTTTTATCTTGCATGAGAGTGTTGGGTGAAGAAGAGTGAAACTTAACCCAACGATGTTTTTCCACTTAGAAGCATGAGAATTGCTTCAGAAGTTACCTATTATGATACAGTGCAAACTCTCATGCAAGTATTCATAATAGGGTCAGCTAATTTTCTTCCACTTAAAATTCTTTGGAATCTAACCCATAGAAATTTTATAAATAAGCAAATCTGAACATTCCACTCTCAGAATTCTTATTTTATTAAAATGTCCATGTGTTCAGGGTTAGAATATTTTGTTATTCCTAAAGACAGGCACCTGAACTATGGGGAAAGGTATGGAGGAAGATGGAAAGGGAATAAGAGGAATGGTATGTGTCCGGGCTTATCCTTGGGATAGCAGAAGATGGAGGACTCTGAACCTCAACTTGGTAAAATGGTTGGATCTCCAGAAGGTATTTATCCTTTAAAAAATGTTCATCATGCCTAAGCTGCTGAGAGAGCTGCTAGTTTTAAATCGTGAGCTAATTATTTGGAGCCAAAATATTTCTATGGCTACAAGTTATATATTGCACACAAATGTGTGTTCAAATCACCTAGCTGACATTTTAATAATTCAACAGAGCAGGCAAGTTCCACTGAGGTCAACAGAACTGTCTCCAAAGTAGGTTCCATTATATACGTTTGCATTTTTATGGTGATATACACCAAACTTCTCCCCAAAAAATCTTAAATGTAGTGGCTAGATCCATCATGTTGATTGTAATGGCATTGTTGAGTGTTGCATATGGCATTGTAAGCATCCACTTCAAATGTAAGAACAACTACTTGGCCAATTTTATCCTCATGAGGACAAGGAATGAATGCAAATTCTTTCAGATACCATTGGAAGTTGTGTCTAAGCTGCCCTGTGAAGACAGAAGTGGTGCTGCATGAGATGGTAAACCAGATATTTACATTTGGAACAACTGGCTCATATGTAATTCAAGAAGAACTAAAATAATAAATGAGCTTCCATGTCATCCTGCCCTACATTTTGAACAGCCAGTGTGGATCTGTATGCAATAAATTTGATTGGAAAGGAGATGCATAATATCTGGATGAATCATTTTTGCAACAGGATAAATATCCTTAAAACTTCTTTCTAGGAATATAAACAGGATAGTAAAATACAGTAGCAAACTTTTGCACTATTTGTGCTCCCCAAGTCATTGGTCAATGAGAGTTTTTAAACAAATACTTTTGTCATTCGGTGTTGCTTAATATAATTAATAAATAAATAAACTTAGTGCAGTAATTGCACACACTGAAGATGTCATCATTTCAAATAAAAAAATAGATCTCCAACCTGATCCTCCTTAACAAACAGGAAACTTGAATGTACCTTCTCTCAAGTCTGCAAGGTAAGTCCAACCAGTTTTCCTGTTGGCACAAGGAGCAGGAGGTGTAGTCCCGGTCTCCTGTAGCCTTTGCCCAGGTGGCTTCCATGATCCATGGCATACCTGTTGCAGGGGCCAACCATGTCCCTCCTTCCTAAATCAGTGGAAAAGCTTAAAGGTTTTGTGGATTTATTTATTTATTTATTTTTTAAATATATAACCCGCCCTCCCCGCTAACGGGCTCAAGGCGGCATACAGATGGGGCCAATGCCCAATGCATAAAACATTAAAACTGTATTTTAAAAACATTCAATATAACATAGGTGCTCTCCACGATAACTAACAAGGGAACAGATGACGTCATCAGGATGGTATCCTTAGTGGCCACAGCTCCACGCAGTATCACCATTTTAGCGCTCACGGCGAGTTGGTAATAAAGGGCTAGGACAGATGGTAATAGTTATAGACAGATGGTAACAGTCGTGGTGGCTCCTACTCAAACACCTGACAGAAGAACTCCGTCTTGCAGCCCCTGCGGAACTGTGCAAGGTCCCGCAGGGCCCAGATCTCCTCTGGGAGCTCATTCCACCAGGTAGGAGCCGCCACCAAAAAAGCCCTAGCCTTAGTCGCCACTAGTCTGGCCTCTGGGACCTGGAACCACCAGGAGATGTTTAGTCTTGGACCATAGTGCTCGTTGGGGCACATATAGGGAGAGGCAGTCCCGTAGGTATGTTGGACCCTGGCCATCTAGGGCTTTAAAGGTAAGAACCAGCACTTTGAAGCGAATCCGGTATGCTATCGGCAGCCAGTGCAGCACTTTCAGCACAGACTGGATGTGTGCCCCCCTAGGAAGGCCCATCAACAGCCTGGCTGCAGCATTCTGCACCAGCTGCAGCTTCCAGATTTGCGACAAAGGCAGCCCCATGTAGAGAGCGTTACAATGGTCTAGCCTCGAGGTGACCGTTGCATGGATCACTGTGGCTAGGTCGTCACGGTCGAGAAAGGGAACCAACTGCCGAGCCAGCCAAAGATGTTGGAAGGCCGCCCTGGCAGTGGCTGCTACCTGGGCCTCCATAGATAATGTGGAGTCCAGGAGCACCCCCAAACTCCTAACTTCTGATGCTGGCACCAAAGGCGCCCCCTCGAAGGTTGGGAGCGGGAGCCCCAACCCCAAACCACAACAACTCAAACCCAGGACCTCTGTCTTTGCCGGGTTTAGCCTCAGCCGACTCAGTCGGAGCCAACCAGCCACGGCTTGCGACGCCTGGTGCAGATCTTCTGGGCTGGAGTCCGACCGGCTGCCCAACATCAGATAGAGCTGAATGTCATCCGCATATTGATGACACCCAAGCCCAAACCTCTGGGCAAGGGGGCGCATGTAGATGTTAAACAACATCGGGGATAAAACAGCCCCTTGGGGCACCCCACATTCAAGGGGGTGTCTCTGGGACTGCTGTTCCCCTATCACCATCCTTTTGTCCCTGACCTTGTAGGAAAGAGGCAAGCCATTGAAGGGCAAGTCCCTGAATCCCCACGTCGGCGAGACGGTGGGTCAGCAACTAGTGGTCGACCGTATCAAATGCGGCCGACAGATCTAATAACAACAGTTCCACCACACCGCCCCAATCCAAATGCCTACGGAGGTCGTCAGTCAGAGCGCCCAGTACCGTCTCCATCCCATGCCCTGGACGGAAGCCAGACTGGAAAGGATCTAGGACAGAAGCGTCATCCAGAAAGCCCTGCAACTGTAATGCCACCACTCTCTCAATAAATTTGCCCAAATAGGGCAAATTGGACACCGGTCGATAATTAGCCAATTCGGCCGGGTCCAAAGAATTGGGGTAAAACCTCCAGATCAAAACACAAAGAAATTAACTC